TGGGGAGTGAACCAGCAGATGGAAGATATTTCTATTTCTCTCTCTCTCCTGTGTGTGTGTGTGTGTGTGTGTGTGTGTGTGACTCTGCCTATAAAATAAATCTTTTTAAAATGTGCTAATGTGATCATCTCTATGGAATCAATTAATGGATTCTTCTTGTAAATTCAGTTAACAACTTTAAATAGCACACAAAGCAAATGCCATCTAGATGACAGTTTCCTTTCCTATTTTTCAATTGTTAGTAGACCCTGAGTGGTTTCAGAAGAATGTTTCTGCCTTTCATGAATAATGGAATTTTACTTACTTGGAAAATACACTGAATCAGTGAATTCAGTGATCTAAACTATATGATTTCTGTCGCTCCCCCTCTTCGTGGAGGAACGACACAGGACCCTGCGCTGTTCTTTCGTCTGCTCGGCCCTCCCCGGGTTTGCTGCTGGTTCTTCCCGGGTTGGCTACTATCCCTTCCACCTCCGTGGAAGGGCAGTTCCCCCTGGCCACATTCCCCACTTCCGCAGGGGAGCGGCACACCGCCGGCTTGCTTTCTCGGGGGCTGCACAGGTGTTCCTTCAGCTAGATGTTCCCCTTAGATGTTTCTGGTGCATGCCGTCTCTCTCCTCCTTTATAGTCCTCCTCCGCCAATCCCAACTCGGCTGCCCACACGCCGAGTACGCTGCTCTCCTCCAATCAGTAGCAAGTCCTACAGTTTATTGGTTGAACTGGAGGCAGCTGTGCGGAAGCTGTTTACTTCTCTCCCAGCGCCATATTGTGGGAGAGCAGATGCATAGAATAAGTCTTAATTCCAGTAACTCAGTCTAGTCCGGTTTGCTCCCCACAATTTCCTGATTCATGGGAACAATCTCAGGAAGCAGGGCTCTGAAGTAAATAGGACTAGCACCTAACCCCAGGATAAAATGTCTGCTATTGTCATAAAAATCAATATGAGTTTATGCAAAAACAGCAGAGCTCACTTTTGTATGCATTCTTCTCCTTGGCAAGCTCAAGTGTTCAGCCAGTGTCTGAGTATCTGAATTTAAAGTGATGAAACTAGTGTAGTTCCCATACATCTGGTCATAGTGCTATTTTCCATACAAAAATTCAAAGAAGTCTTTTCATATGAGGAGGTGTTTTAGTTAAGAGAGCCAGGCATCTCAGTCCTAAGAAGTCATATCATTGATGCATCCCAAACCATGACCTTGGTGTTATACAGAGAATACCACATTATTGAAATCTTATTGAAGCACAAAAATGATAACAGGAGATAGAACAGCAGCCACTTAATTTTTAAAATCAAAAACAAAATATAACATTTTATACTTTTGTATCTTGTAGCTGTGATTTCCTTCAGAGTCACACAGAATTAAACAAGATAATTTAAATTTAAAAAAATTGAGAGCCTATTGCATTTTCCTGAACTACAAGCAATGTATCTGTAATGTAATTATTGAGAGTGTCTGAAAAATTAGAAGTGAGTTACTTCTTTCAAATCAAGGTGAGTTTGGAAGAAAACTTTTTTTAACCTTTACCTTGAAAGCTTACACAGAGGTTTATTTCTGCAAGTTATTGCTTTTACTTGATTGGCTATACCTTAAAAATAGCATGGTTTGAAAAAAAGAATGCTGAACTAAGGGGGCATAAGTCCAAAAATCTGCCATAAATAAGCCCATAATGATGAATCCAATAGAATTATTTACTTAAATCTCTTCATCAAAGTGATTAAGTGATCTCAAAGATCCTTTCTAACTCCAGAATTTGATTAAGGTCAATACATGAATCCCCTTCTACAGGTGAGTGAACTAGTGTGAATGTGAAGACGGACAGAGAGCTTGTCCACTTGAAGGCAGAAAAAGAGAAAAACAAGCTGTCACTTATCGTTAAAAATTGATGAATAACACTTAACTACCATAATGATGAAAAATAACTTTTATAAAAGATAATAAATCCTTTACCATATATAAAACAACATGTTTCTAACTATTTGGCAATTTCTGCCTTGTCTATTTCTGCAGAGGAATTTGTAATAACAGACGGACAATTGTGAACTTTGTATTCAACATTTCTATCACAATTTAAAATTTTACAGTCAGCTTGAGCATGTCCCAAATTATATATCTCTTCCCTCTCTTATTCCTACTCTTATGTTTAACAGGGATCGCATTTCAGTTAAATTTCAACACTTAAGAATAACTGTGTATTAATTACAGAATTAAATCAGTCATATTAAGTAGAACAGACAAAAAAACTACTAAGAGGGATAATGTATTAAGTTGTTCATTAACAGTCAGGGCTATGCTGATCAAGTCACCGTTTCCCATAGTGTCCCTTTCACTTCAACAAGTTTCCTTTTTGGTGTTCAGTCAGTTGTCACCGATCAGGGAGAACATATGGTATTTGTCCCTTTGGGACTGGCTTATTTCACTCAGCATGATGTGTTCCAGATTCCTCCATTTTGTTGCAAATGACTGGATTTCGTTGTTTCTTACTGCAGTATAGTATTCTAAAGAGTACATATCCCATAATTTCTTTATCCAGTCTACCGTTGATGGGCATCAAGGTGGCATGTACCAATGCCATCTCACTAGTCCAAGTGATCAATTTCAGTTCGCAATTGATCATAATGAAAGGACTAAGAGTCAAAGGGAGCACATAAGCAAGTCTAGTACCTGCTAACACTAACCGATAGAATAAATAAAGGGGAGAGTGATCCAACATGGGAAGTGAGATACTCAGCAGACTCATAGAATGGCAGATGCCCTAAATAGCACTCTGGCCTCAGAATCAGCCCTAAAGGCATTCAGATCTGGCTGAAAAGCCCATGAGAGTATTTCAGGCATGGAAAGCCAAGACACTCTGGCAAAAGATCTCTGTGAGTGAGATCTCAGTGGAAAGAACAGGTCTTCAAAGAAGGAGGTACCTTTCTCTGAAGGGAGGAGAGAACCTCCACTTTGACTATGTCCTTGTCTAAACAAGATAAGAGTCGGAGAACTCAAGGGGCTTCCATAGCCTTGGAAACTCATGACTGGAGCATAGGGAGATTACTGATGCCATAGACAGGAGTGTCAATTGGTAAAGTCAACAACAGGAGTCACTGTGCACTTACTCCTCATGTAGAATCTCTGTCCTTAATGTGCTGTGCATTGAGATTTAATGCTATAACGAGTACTCAAATAATATATTTCACTTTGTGTTTCTATGGGGGTGCAAACTGTTGAAATCTTTACTTAATGCATACTAAACTGATCCTCTGTAAAAAAAAAAAAAAAAAAAAGAAAAGAAAAGAAAAGAAACTATCAACTCCCAACTTGACTCTCACTGGGATTAAACATGACAATAGGTCTGATCTGATTTCATCATCATTAAAAAAAATCATCTATTATTTTTCACTTTATGTTTCTGTGTGAGAGCAAACTGTTGAAATCCTTACTTAATGTATACTAAGCTGATCTTCTGTATATTAAGATAATCGAAAATGAATCTTGATGTGAATGGAAGGGGAGAGGGAGTGGGAAAGGGGAGGGTTGTGGGTGGGAGGGACGGTATGGGGGGGAAGCCATAGTAATCCATTATTCGTACTTTGGAAACGTATATTCATTAAATAAAAGTTAAAAAAAAAATTTTTACAGTCAATTCTCATTTCAAGTTGGCAGTGCTGTAAGGAGCATGCAATATCAGATCCCTGCTAGAAAAAATGCTGATCTTACATGGAGAAAAATATTTTCAAATTGGTGATTTTTCCAAATAATTTTCAGATATTAGGATCTAAGATAATCAATGCTTCATAACAGATTAACAGCTTAACACCAATAATTCTTCAGGTTTTCTTTCCTTTTCCAGTAAATCTTAGAATTAGAATGTTATTTTCATGAAGAAATGTCCCTAAGGATGAGAATTTACTATATAATAATTTTTTAAAATAATGCTTCATTTTACTACTAAAGACTAATTTTTTTAAACACATCAAACTACTAGTAGCTATTCATATTCTGGGAAAGCAGTTTTTATATTTATGATGCACTTTGAAAAATATCATTGTGCAGGATTTCTGATTTTCTATACTCCCAGGTTGCCCCAAACTAAGGAACAGTTTATGCAATGTGAATAAAGTCCCACGACCCTTCCTTAAAATCTTTATTTCCAGATCTTTTGTTTCAATGTCTGTAAGAAAAAAGTATTTATAAGCACTCATGTGGATACTATTGCAAAACCAGTCAAACACTAAGGTAATTACCAGGAAAACATTCTAAATTCTCAGCTAAGATTGCTACCAATTGCCTAGAATAATGCACACCATACAATAATAGGCCAGAAAGAATGACTTCAATAATCAGAAATTAAAACATTGATGAAAATTTCTTTTAAATGCTGTCAACAAGTAAGGTAGCTAAGAATGTATAAAATAAAATTTTCCTGGCATGGATTACTCTTGTATTCAGTAACTTGTGACAAAGCTATAGCACTCCGAAAAAAAGAATGTGGAAAGCTAGTGAACTCTTAAACTAATTAGATAGATAAGAAACTTAACAGATGACAGCAGTCAAACCTACTAAAAACCAGAATAAACTATATAAACTGTTATAGCTACAGAAACACATTACAGACTGATGCATTTCAGGAATGGTACAAATCAGAAATTAAATAGTAAGAATTTAATGTAATTTTTTAAAAGTTTAAAAAATGTTAATATATTTATTTGAAAGCAAAAGCGAGCCCAGCTGTTCTGGGCATTTTGGGAGGAACCAGCAGATGAGAGCTTTCTCTCTGCCTTTCAGATAAGTAAGCAAGTAAATAAGTAAATAATCCTAACAGTAGAAGAACAATTATTTGTTGTTGCTCAATGATTGGGAAGATACTTGATACATAAAAGATTCACAACTGTTTTATCTTAAGTCTAAGAAAAACAAATTTACAGAAAAACAGTTAAATATTTTCATTATATCTGCAAACTGTATCTAGATTACTTGAACTTTTCATTTTAAGCTTTCTGAAATACACTTACTTACCTGGGAGTGTGTCATGTCTGTACTCTATCTTGTGCTGGGGATTCTTCCTGGAAAAAGAAAAGAAAGTAAAAGTAAGATCTACTTTTCCAATACTAAAAAATAGTTAAGATTATTTAAATTAGAATACTGAGAAACCTTCAAACAAAATTCAGCCCCAACTGGCCTCTCACTGTAAAGCATTTGCTTTTGAATTATAGTGACTCACTGAGTAGCTACTTTATTTCAGGCACATCTCCCGACACAAAGGACGGTGAACAAGACAAAGTTCTCACTTCAAGAACTTACACTTTAGAAAGATACAAACTTTCAAGAAATAACACTCAGGATCCGGCTTTGTGGTATAGCTGCCTGCGATACCACCATATGGATGCCAACGCTGTGGTAATTATGGAATCTATTTTCCAACATGGGTTTTAACTAGTATTTATTGTATGAGTTTCAACTGAAAACCCTAGAATATTGTAACACCATTCAATAGAACTTCTTGTGCTGAGGGAAATCTCTCTTGGTGTCCAACAGAGTGGCCACCCACTGTATGTGGCTACCGAGTCACATGTAGGCAATAAAGCTGAAGAATTGAATTTCAAATTTTATTTAAATTGATTTACATTTAAATAAAAACAGCCAGTACTATCATATTGTATGCAATTTTAATTTTTTTACAAAAAGGAGGATCCTCTCTCCCCATTCAAGGTTAATTTAAAATGAATCGAAAAACAACAAAACACCCTCTTCCTTACAGACTGATCCTCAAAAAATCCAAAATTCTATGGGTAGAAATGCTAGCATGAGGGTGATGATTTGAATCAGATGAGAGTAGTGACTGGAATGAGGGAGTCCCCAGTTAGAATCCTGGTTCAGCCACCTCCTCACAAGCTGCCTAAGCTTCAGTTTGCCCATCTGTACAGGGGAAATTAACAGAACCTATACTCTCAAGAAGCTGTCCTGAGGATCCTGACATAATGCACAGTAGGTCACTTGACTACGGGCTTGGTGGGTGGTAAGTAATCCATGGGAGCCATTGATTCACTCATTGTTGTTCAAAACACAGTCACAGGACACTTATTACTGGCCTTATGTCCAGTATCAGTAAGTCCCCTACTGCTAATAATGCTGCTTCTTTAGTAACGTTTCTTACAATATGAGCATTAAACAGCACAAGAATGCAAATGCATGATTAATTAGAATCCTAACTCAACAGTTTTAAGTAAGAAGTGGAAAAAAAACCAATTATATACAAGATGACATATTTGGGGTAATTAACCCAAATTTGACCTTTTGATGCAAAAGGAACATCAAGGAAAGAAAAATGACCTGGACAGCCTAGCTGTGATGAAGGCAGCTACAAATGAACAAGGCTGTGGTGATGACTTGCGGGACAGTCTTTCCTTACTGCACATGCTGGCACAGGCCATCCATGTGTTTCATTCAGTCTTTACTAAAGAGAAATGAATGCAATGAGAGGGAAACCAGAAAGACAGAGACATGAAAACCAAAGATATTCTTCATCATTAATCTACGAAAAGATTATTAGTTGTTTGAGATTTTGTTTTGGTAACATTTTATTTTGAAAAATATTCAAGCCCACTAAATAGTGGGCAAAAATAGTACACTGAGATTCCACATAGCTTCATCTAGGTTCTTCAAGTGTTAGCATTCCATACAGATGTCTTTTTTACAGTCGTTTGAAATTTAAAGATATTTTTCTTTTTAAATAAATGTCTGCTTCAGGCACCACACAGTCCTGTCTTTTCCTGCTCTACCTTAAACAGAACAAGATTATTGAAAATTCCAAGATGGTGGAATAGGGAACAATGTACTACACTAGGTTAGGGATAAATAGAAAAAAAAAAAAGGAAAGAAAGAAAGAGAAGTGTAGGTAGTGCACTCTCAGGAGAGACTTAGAGAGAAAATTGTAGTGGAAATTCTAGGCAAGGAAGAGGAATGCCTTGGACCTGTGTGGAAGTTGTGGATGCACAGCACAAATATGGACAAAACACACGACTCCAGCAGCAGAGAGCCAGAGCAGGCGGCAGCTTGAAAACGGAGGTGAGACCTGATGGCAGCAACCATGATGATATAACCAGAGGGAGAGCGTGGCTTGAGTCTGGCCTGGAGATCTAGGGCCTAGCAGTTACCTGTGGACCCAGTGGAAGTAAGAGGGGCATGTTTCTCTCAATCCATCCTCACCACAACAGTGCCCAGCACCTGGCTGAGACAGGGCAGGTGCCATTTTGGGCTTGGTGGCAGCTGCAGAAGGCCTTGTGCATGCACAGCAACTGGCTGAGACAGAACTCCATCTTCTCAGCAGTACTGGTGGCAGTGGTGGGGAGAGGGCAACATTCAGCCAGTGGCTCTTATATACATGTGTGATTCAAAGATTCCAGCAGAGTGAAAAATCCACAGTCCTCACTGACTTTGAGACTGGCTGGGGGTACTGATGGGAGTCTGGGAACCTATGTAGGACTCTGAGGTATCTCCAGCCTCCCAACATACCACAGGTGCTGGGGCTCAAGCCGCCTAGGTGGAGCATTTATGGACAGCTGGCTTGGGGAACATCTGCCTCTCTGTGGACTGGACAGGATGGCAGGGCAAAGTAGAACTTTTATACCCAGTGACTGTGCAAACCTTGTATGCTGAGACTGTGGAGATTGGGTGGCTGTAAGAGAGGGTTCAGGGTCTAGCTGGGTCTCTGGGAAATCACTGAATGCAGCTCCAAAAGCCCGGAGCTCCCTGGTTGCCTGGGATGGGTCATTGCAAGACCCATGCTCAGAATGAAGACTGTGCAGATCATTCATGGGGTTCAGATGACAGTGCTGATGAGTATTGCTCCCACTGGGGCTAACTCCTTGGAGCAGAGGAAGTGAAGGGGTAATCACACCACCATAGGTGACCATTCCCCCTCTTCTTTTAATAAGAGATGCTACCCTGGATACTGGCCCCACACTGGAACACTGACCAGAGCTTCTTGACCACACCCACCACACACCTCTTGATATTCACTGAAAGTGCAGACATTCCATTAAGCCACAGAGGTATAACTCAAAGATGGAAGCCATCAGAGGAAAAAAGAAATCAACAATTAATTCTACAAATGCCTAAAAATAAATGCAGATTCAAGAAACAAGAATAAGGAAGACAGCATGATCCCTCTAAAAAAAACCACAACATTTCAATAATAGAATGTGAAGACATAGATTAAAGAAATGCTAGAAACAGAATTTTAAAAATAATCATAGGATTACTCAAAAGCAATCAGAAGCAAGTCCATGAACTAAAGCAAATCATGCATGATATGAAAGTTCTTCCCATGAAATTGAGATTTTAAAGAGAAATCAAAATTAAATATTAGAAAGGAAGAATTCAAGAGATCAAATTAAAAAATGCAGTATAGAGCCTTAACAAGAGACTTGGTGAGGCAGAAGAAAGAATATCTGAGCTAGAAGACAAACCTCTGGAAATTATTCAGTCAGACCAAAAAAAAAATAATAAGAAGAAGAAATTAGAAAACTTAAAAAGAGTGTTGGAGATTTATGAGATCTATCAAATACCCAACATATGGGTCTTAGGAGTTTCTGAAGATGTAAAAAGAGAGATTGGAGTAGAAGGCCTATTTAGTGAAATAATTATAGGAAGCATTCCTAATTTAGAGAAAGAAAAGAACATCCAAGTACAGGAAGCACACAGAACTCCTAACAGACATGACCAGTAAAGATCTACACCACGACACATTATAGTCACACTTTCCACAGTAAGGCATAAAGAAAAGATTCTAAAATGTGCATGAGAGAAACATCAGATTACTTTCAGAGGATTTTCAATTAGACTCACAGCTGATTTTGCATCAGAAACCCTAAAGGCTAGAAGACAATGGCAAGATATGGTCTAAGTCTGAAGAGAGAGAGAGAAAAAAAAAAAAACCTGTCAACACAGAATACTGTACCCTGTAAAGCTCTCATTTCTGAATGAAAGTGAAATAAGACCTTCCACAACAAACAGAAATTCAAAGAATTTGTCACCACTCATTCAGCCTTACAAAAGATGCTAAAGGATATGCTACACAAAGAAACACAGAAAGCAAGCCATCATCCTGAATGAATATGAAGGCAGAAAATCAACCAGTAAAAGTAGAAAAGAAATCCAAAATAAACAGTAGGAATATTAATGGAAAAATGGCAGGGCTGAGTAGTTACTTTTCACTAGTTACCTTGAATGTAAATGGCTTCAACTCTCCAGCTAAAAGATGTACACTGAATGAATGGATTAAAAAACAAGACCCATCTATTTGCTGCCTGCAAGAAACACTTCTCAACAACAAAGACACACGTAGACTGAAAGTGAAAGGATGAAAAAAGATATTCCATGCTAACAGAAACCAAAAAAGGGCAGGTACAGCCATTCTAGTATCAGACAAAATAGACCTTAACACAAAAAACTGATAAAAGAGAAAGAGAAGGGCACTGTAAAATGATTAAGTGATCAACCCAACAAGAAGACATAACTATAATAAATACACATGTACCCAATTAGAGGGTGCCTGGCTATATAAAACAAATGATAATGGACCTAAAAGGAGACATAGATTCCAATATAATAGCAATGGGGGATTTCAATACCCCACTTTCATCAATGGATAGATCAACCAGACAGAAAATCATCAAACAACAGAACAAACCGAAACTTTGGACCAAATGGACCTAACTGATATCCGTAGAATTTTGTACTCCAACGTTGCAGAATACACATTCTTCTCATCAGTACACAGAACTTTTTCTAGGATAGACCATAAGGCCATAAAGCAAGTCTCTGCAAATTCAAAAAATTGAAATCATACCATGCATCTTCCTGATCATAATGGACTGAAGCTGAAAATCAACAACTCAAGAATCTCTAGAACACATGTAAATACATGGAGACTGAACAACACTCTCCTAAATGAACACCGGATCACTGAAGAAATCAAAAGAGAAATAAAAAATTTCTTTTAATGAATGAAGATGACAGTACCTCATATCAAAACTTTTGAGATACTGCAAAAGCAGCTTTA